GCAGCGGGGGAGGCGGGTGACTGGGCAGTGTCCACGCAGGAGACCATGCGGTTTCCAGTTACAACGCAGGGATCACAGCAAACACAGCCACCACAGAAGCACTATGGCATTACCTCCCCCATCAGCTTAGCAGCCCCCAAGGAGACTGACTACCTGCTTACACAGAAACTAACTGAGACTCTGAAGCCCTTTGGCGTTTTTGAAGAGGAGGAGAAACTGCAGCACAGGAATTTTTAATTGGGGGAAAATTAAATAACCTGGGAAAAGAGTGGATACGAGAAATCAGTGAAAGCGAGAATCTTCCACAATCTGTAATTGAAAATGGTGGTGGAAAATGTTTTACATTTGGATCTTAGAGATTACGAGTACATACAAAAGGTGCCGATATTGATGCGTTGTGTGTTGCACCAAGACATGTTGATCGAAGTGATTTTTTCACCTCATTCTATGATAAGCTGAAATTACAGGAAGAAGTAAAAGATTGAAGAGCTGCTGAACAGGCATTTGTACCAGTTATCAAACTGTGTTTTGATGGGATAGAGATTGATATTTTGTTTGCAGGATTAGCACTGCAGACTATTCCAGGAGACCTGGGCTTAAGAGATGACAGTCTGCTTAAAAATTTAAATATAAGATGCATAAGAAGTCTTAATGGTTGCAGGGTAACCGATGAAATTGTGCATCTAGTACCAAATACTGACAACTTCAGCTTAACCCTGAGAGCTATCAAACTGTGGGCCAAACACCACAACATCTATTCCAATATATCAGGTTTCCTCGGTGGTGTTTCCTGGGCTATGCTAGTAGCAAGAACCTGCCAGCTTTATCCAAATGCAACAGCATCAACTCTTGTACATAAATATTTTTTTTTTTTTTTGCGGTACGCGGGCCTCTCACTGCTGTGGCCTCTCCCATTGTGGAGCACAGGCTCCGGACGCGCAGGCTCAGCGGCCATGGCTCACGGGCCCAGCCGCTCCACGGCATGTGGGGTCTTCACGGACCAGGGCTCGAACCCTGGTCCGCATCAGCAGGCGGACTCTCAACCACTGCGCCACCAGGGAAGCCCTGTACATAAATTTTTCTTGGTATTTTCTAAATGGTATGTGTTTAGTTTATATTAAAATAAAATGGATTGTAGACACTGAGAAAAATATATAATTTAAGAATCATTTAAAAAGTTATTTACAGTATTTAAAAATGGGAAAATAGGGAGAGGTTGAATTTGTTCAGGATTCTACAATTTGCCTATGTGTCTGCCTATATTAATCGCATTTTTCATCACAGCCCTGGGAAAGGAGTATTATCATTATTCCCATTTTATAGAAGAGGAAACTGAGGCTCAGAGAGCTTGGGTAACCTGCCCAAAGTCACTCAGGCTAGTAAGCAGGGGAGGAAGCAGGAACTGGAAACCTCCTTCCTGCATGCTTTTCCCACTGGCCCTGCCCTTCCCCACTCTCTGCTGAGCCGGGCTGTGGGGAGGGGCACCCTGTAGCCAAACATCTCCTAGTGTTTGGGGGCCCATGTGACTTTTAGGGGTAGAGGCAGGGTGATCCACCTCTGAGGGGCCAGGTTACAAAGACACGGGGCTGTGTGGTTTCAACAGCTCTGACAGCGCTGGCAGCCTTGAGCCTTCCCCCAGGAAGCCGAGGGCCTATGGTGGCACCTGGCCAGGGCAGCTACCTTCCTCTGAGAGTTTTGAAGGCTGTGGGGCCCATGCGGGGCTATGAGGGGGAAGTGGTTAAAGCCCAGCAGTGGCCCAGTGAAAACCAAAGGTAGGAGGAGCTCAGCTCTGGGACCTCCTGGGCTCCTGGAGCCACTCCATGGCTATCACCTGTAAGAAGAGGCTGAAAGCAGCAACTCCAGAGCCATATTTAGCTGTAGGGCCAGCCTGGCCGAGGCTCAGCCTGGGTCTCCAGCCCTTCCTCCAGATGGGCAGATTTTTCTTCACTGACTCAATGTTGAGCCCGACCAAGGTCTGCAAAGCAGATGGCTCACGTCAGAACAGTTCTGCAAACACGGTTGGAATTACTTTGGTGAGGCTTCCAGCTTACCCTCTGGGAAACTGGGTGGGAGCTGGTGGATTAACCATTGCCGGGCAGCCCTGTGAAGTGAGGCAGGAGGCTGAGAAATGTACAAGTCCCAGGATGGGCCCCGCCCAGGTTCACTGGTGAACTGAGTGAGTCTCAGGGTAGAAAGTACAGGTAGGAAAATAAATTTTGCTTTGAGAATTTTACCTGAAAAATCCCTCAACATAGCCTCATGGCCACTTGTGATGGGAGTGAGAAGAGTGTGGAAAGCTTTAAAATCAGATCAGGGTTCTTTCCTTTGGCAATTTTTAGCTTTGTGGCCTTGCATGGGCTCCCCACCCCCTGCCTCAGTTTTCTTATCTGCAGAGTGGGGATGAAAATATTTACTTGGATGACTACATGAGACAATGCAATGAAAATGCTCCATGAGTTGCATACTGTTATACAGTGATAGGGGCTGTTATCATT